CTCTGCGGGACGAGAGTGACAACCAAAAACAAGCACACAAGTAAATTAGAAAATACTACAAGAGCAAGTTAACCGAGATTCAAGTTCGTTCTCTTCCGTTCATTCATTCGTTCTTTTGTTCGTTCGCTCTTCCATTCGTTCCCTCATTCCTTCGCCGTGACATCGCTATTGGAGACAGAAATGTTTATAGAATGTTACATCCTCTTTACAGTTTGTAGCAATGGCGAAGAAATGTTTCGACCTGGAGATAAATTTATGGCTGAAAAGGATGGCAAACATTTGGAATGCAAGTGTGGAATGGACGAAGTGCCAAACTGTCAAGAAGTCCTTATTGGTGAGTACTAGGATTCTTAACGTCATGTTCACAACTTTCAAACAAAATTAACCTCGATAAACGTTAAAAGAAATTGACCGATTGGAGAGTTAGTGCTGGCCGGATATTAATATTTTGCTCTTGGTCATTTCCCCGTGCATGGTCTATATGCCATGTCGACCTGAAAAATTCTTGTCTGGGCCTCCCACTGGGTCAATACAAGAGATAATCTCTTGGTCAATAAGCTAAGAATACCGTTTCTTGAACCCTCTACCTATTTAACAGAGCAAAGCAAATGCTTCAAACTGATTGTCAAAGCTGTCGCACACTATCAGCCATGCATTAGTGCGCAGTGACTGTAGGTCATCCACATAATGGCGAAAATAATTGTCTCCGCGTTTTTCCGATATTTAAAAGGAATAGTTAGAAACATTACAAGCCGAGTCAATTTCCAAAAGGCCGTATTTTAGGGAAAGGAACTTGACCGTTACGCGGCTTTAATGATTTGATGAACGCGTGTAAACAGCAACAAGTTTTAAACAACACTTCAATCCAGGCGTGATTTCGAAAAAACGTGAAGTTTAATACTACCTAATACCTAAAATTGGAAATCATTATTTGAATGAGATTTAGTCAGAATTCTACTGAAAGAATTCAAATATATGCTTTCGAATTCTGATGAGGTAACGACTATCGATAGAAGAAATCCCGAGCTCGTAATCTTATTGTTAAATATAAATCTTAGTAAACCATTTTCGTATTCTCACGGTGTTGGACTGGAACTAGTTTGCAACTGAGGCTAATGCAGGGAGTTTTTTCAAATGCAAACGATACTCTCTTTGAATGACATTCCACAACAATGAGTCTCCAGCAGAAACTTGTTCCATTCCAATACAGTGAATGCGAAAATGACTTATTTACATCTTATTATTTTTTTTGCACTTTAGACTCATCACGAACAGCTTACAATAGATCAATTTTAATGATATTTCATTCACCAGTTGTTTCGTAATTGTTTGATTATTTCTTAGTTCCTCCAAAGGAGCCACCCAGGCCCCCACCAATGTTTCCTCCACCCGGAATGTTTCCGCCGCAAAGAGACACTGTAAGTAACAGCCTGGAAACGTAGTTGCAAAAATCCAAAAGAAAAGGGATTGAGATCTGCTTCAAATATACCACTAGCAGTATATTTGCTATGGAAACGCGACACCATAACTAGCTGATAATTGTTACACCCTTTCTTCTATATTCGTCTTTTGCTGACTACTTTAGGCTGAAAATATAGCTATGTACATTCTTAGATTTCAGAGTAAAGTAGTACTTATGTTATAAGTGTTTCAGTTAAATAAAACGTACGGATGTGACTGGGAATTGAACTCTTCATCGAGCTGTATGGTGTCTGTATCGTGTTACATTGCATGCACCATACTTTTCAAAGTAAAATAAAGGTAACTTAAAAACATTATGTGATTTTATCGTATTATATTTTTAAAAAAGTTTTTAACAAAATCTCAGCCTTGGGTATCTTCTTAACTTACAGTGTATTCTTAGAATTTTGCCAACCTTATGCCCCTTTCACACCAACTAAACATGATAAATTAAACCAGGTTTAGAACAGCAACAGAAAACTGGTAGACTGAATTTTACATATGATTCTACCAAGCTCTAATGGGTATATTCATTATGCTAAACATCATGCATAATGTTGACAAACCTCAGCTAGAAGCTTCTATGACGAAAAAACTTTAAAATTTTCTTTAACTCATGAACAGCTTTTAAACATGTTTAAGTTTTTGTGTGAATGGGGTATTAACCTGAGTATTCTTATAAAAAGATTCTTATATTAGAAAAAAATTGTCTGGATTGTAATTAAACGCGTTTTAATTTCTTTCTTGTAGGAGTAACATCAAAGGACCGGCCACTTTCCAGTTGACTTTCACATTTGAAATTATAGCCAAAGATTGATTACCTGACTGTAAATTTCAGCCATCTTTACTAAGTGGCGATTATTATATGTAAGCCAAAATGGGTAAATGATGAGCAACAAACGTTTTATAAGAGTAAGGTTTACAGGGTACAATTATTGTTAATACCGTGGGAAACTGACTTAATATAAAACGGTTGAATTAAACTTGATGTGAATATCTGCAAGTGTGGCGTGCCATTAGTATCAAAAAATGTATGTTGTATGGGTTCATTTGATGGGGAGCTGGGCTTAATATCTGTAACCAAGGCCCTGTAGCCTCGAATGTTCACAGCCCTTAATTTTATCACACAAGAGAGAAAGATAAAAGGATAAAAAGGTCGGGGATGCTTGTCGTCTCACTTAGGGGTATGAATCAATGATTCTGGTCTCACCTAGAGTGTTAAAAACGAAACGCTACTATTTTTAGCTGTCAAAGTATCTTTTAGGGTGCACTCGAAGAAATTGATAATAATTAAAAAATTCTCAGGTCTGTTAGGTGGCTCCTTTCCTGAACAGCGGATAGTAGTCGAGCCCATTATGTTTTAAGTACTGTCTTTTAGGGGTCAAATAAAGCTCGAGCTCCGCCCAGATTGTTTTCCTTTAGGGGTTTAATTCAAATTTTTCGACGAGCATTCCCGACTTTTTCACATGGGATTCCCCCTGGGGGAAGAACCAAGAACAAAGAACAAAGCGTGCGCGGATTATGAAACCGGGGATGGGCAGGGGACGTTAAAAAACTCTGGAAAACTGCGGGGCTTTCGCATCTCTGAACAAATATCAGTTTTATATTGATATTATTCCAGAGATGAGAAAGCCCCGCAGTAACATTAGACTCCTAGTCTACTAATCACTTTGTTATCTCTTTTTATTTCCCCTATCTACCCCACCCTTTTCCTCCCGCTAAATGTCGTTGCATTCAGTCCCCTGTAGGGAAACAGATGCCGACTGATGCATTTACCCATTGTTCTTAGGGCACGAAAACTTAAACAACGCTCATAAAAACGCAAAGAAAAGATCTAAAACCTTCAAACCTAGCATACACAATGTCGTTTGCAAAGGGACAAATCTTGCAAAAATGTGGCTTTCCTTGTACTTTACGAGCTGTGTAAGGCTTGCATGGTATTTTGGTAAAATGTACAGCCGCCATCGTTTTTCTGCCGAGGATTTGACAGAGTTGTATCGCCGAGTTTTACTTTCCTGCTTTACGATCTGATCATAAGTGAGGTTAACACTAACAGTACCATCAGTCTTTGCGCGCCAGTAGGCGCCTAAGGTTGAGCGACAGCATGCTTTCCAGTAAACCTTCTCTTCATCTTTATACAATGTAACTAACCTATACAAGGCATGAGTACTTCAGAAGTCAAACTTTGCTGAAACTGATTATCATCGGATACCAATTCAAATTCCCGTTCTCGCACCATGTTAGAATCCTGTTCAAAACAGTAGGTGGCTAATTCAGACCGTGTTCAGGAAGAGATGTGAACAGTTCTTGAAGTTATGTACAGCAAACACGAAAGACCGTGTTTGACCACATTTCCAAACATCAAGGAGAGAAATGAAAATACGACGCGTAGCGGAGTATTTTTGAAGAACTTCGAGGTGTTTGGAAATGAGGTCAAACTGCCTGTCTTGAGTGTTAGATATATCTCCTCAACCTAAACTAAAACTGTGGAGAAAACGGAGAAATAAAATCGTAACAACCTATGCTGATTAAGATCAGATATCAAAACACCGTCACGGTCATGATTTCCTTACAGTATGTTTAAACTTGATGAGTTCACGGTAATGAGTTTGAGAAGTTTTTGTCTCCTTCACTCATTTAATCCTCATCGTCCCATCCATGGGGGTTATAAGGCGTCCACTAAGAAATGTCTCATTCACACACAACAAACAAATTGTTTCAAATTTTAATGATTTAATTTTTTTAACTTTTGGGCAGTAAAACGAGACTGCTCCCTGGAATATTACTGTTTTCTTCAAACATCGACGCGTAAAGTACTTAATGGTATATATTTTCCGTTTCATTGAACCCAGTTCCTCCTCACTTAGCATAGGCGCACGCAGTTCCTGCAACTGAAAAAATAACAAAATGTCAAACAGGTTGAAACTTTAGACATATCTGGAATTGGGTTTTGCGTGTATTTCCCAGGAATAAATGAAAAAGGTAAGACATAGTCGGCTATAAACAATACAAAATAATTTCTGAGATTTTGCCAGAACTTAATCAGTGAAAAAACAAATAACGATTATAAATACAGTCAGGAGGTGAATTAGCAGAAGTCAATCTAAAAATAACATTTGTGACCTCTCACGCGAAAACGTACACTAAAGGGTATCGGTTTGAACGGCTAAAAACCGTCCGCGTACCTTTTGCCATCCGTTCAAAATTTGGTTCATTTTTATCTATTTTGAAGGCAAAACTCTGTTTTCTTTTTCTACTGGCCTTTGTTAATCTCAAGTCGAACAGCTACATGGGCGGCAACAAGATGTGAAAAATTGCAAGAGGATTCTTTTTACTTTCATGATAGGTCGGCCAGACACCATCAGCTGGAGGTCGTATCAGAATTCCAGGGCCGCGATCCACAGATGACGAAAGTACAATTCACATTTACATTGGAGTCTTGGAAAATCACCCAGTGACATATGTGCAAGATTAAATAAACAAATTTAATACAAAAATAAATGGGAAAGCTGAATAAAACGGTCGTCAGAGATGGTCATCTTGAATTTTGTGGAGAACTGTATGATAAGAAATCTGGGGCGGATAAAGGATTTTGGAGAAGGGGGTCCCGCCGACCCTATATCCACCAGTATCCCATCCCCTGTATTCCCCCGGTCCCCCGGGGACATCGAACCCCGAAAAAGTTTTTAATTGAGGTCGTCAGAAATGGGATTTCCGGCATTCTGAAGCCAAGTCAGCGTAATTTAGGGAGATCGACCGACCCCCCATCCCCGTACCAACCCCCCTCTAGATCTATCCCAGGTAATCAAAAGGAACATTGTTCCAATAAATGATAGCTCTTGGCCAGAAACTATATTTATATGTGTTACAGGATTTCGGGAGCGGGATGAATTTCAATGGATGAGACAATCTAGTTTTTAGAGAAGACTGATGTTGTGCATGACTTGGAACATTAACAGCGGCCTGGTTACCCTCTTCCTTCCTATCTTTTCTCGCACTAGAACCCTCAGTGGCATCTATCTGCATCACAAAGAGTTGCATGCTAGCGACAAACCTTAGCGTTATTAGTTGTAACTCCATTTGTTCCTTTTCTTCATCTTCAGACTTCGTTTGTGGTTACCAGGGAAACCTGGGAAAGGCGGAAATACTGGAGGGAGTCTGGTAGTAGTTTCAGGTAGCGTGAACGAGGCTTCAGTGACAGGTGCACCGGGTCCTGGAGAGAGAATTGATAAAAAGAAAATAATGACATTTAAAGGAGCTCAGTCACGGTATTTTGTGTCATTTTGGCCATGTAAAATTACCCTTAAATTAAAATAAACCTGAAAATAACGTTTACTAAGATAGAAAATACTAAGGGATACAAATAAACCATAAAAGAACAAAGATGGTTGAGGATGACAAGATAACAAGATGACAACGTGTTTTATTCAAGATGATGAAAATAGAATACAAGAAAAAGTACCTTATTGTTACTTATTTTCGCGGGTACTTAATTTCGCGAAAATGGAACGGGCATATTTCGCGGGACTTAATTTTCGCGATTTGGCCGAAAAAATATTTTAAAAGGAACTAAATTTCGCGAAAGTTGCCAGGACACTGATCTACAATATAACAAATGGATAGATTGACGACTGCACCAAGGATGTCTTACATGAACTGCTGCAAGAAGATGATATTAATTCAGACGAAGAGAGTTCGAACGCCGAAACATAAATAGAGAACATGGACAAGATAACTTTGTAATAAACTGGCGCTAACGTTGATTAAAGAATAATATAGCAGGGTATTAAATTTCGCGTGGTTAATTTTCGCGAGAACTTTTTTTCGCGGGTATTAAATTTCGCGATTTTTTTGAAGATCGCGAAAATCGCGAAAATTAAGTCCCACGAAAATTAGTAACGATAAGGTACATCTTGAAAAGGAAAACCTATGGCGTTTCCCCTAAATAAAAGGATACAACAGAAGATTTACAAGATTGACACGGATTACAAACGACAAATATGAATTTGAAAACAGGACATAGAGAAGGGATCCAGATTTGAACTCAGCAAACACTGTTGGAGCTGTTTCAGACTGTTCATGACTTGATTCCTAATAACTTCTATCATCTCATCCCTTCCGGCTATACATTACGTTCTCTTAAGAGTAAATTACGAAGACCCTTATTGAAATCGTAGATAACATGAAATTCTACTCTAAGTGACCCAGGTCTGGTGGGGGGAAATCTGTATCATCCGTGTGGATCCGTCAGGACAATCCACAACTCACAGACATACCCCTAACAAAGTTTCCCCATGCGTTGATAAAAAGAAAGGGAAACACAATTCAGAGGTTCCTCTTTTACTTACTACACGTTGGACAACATTTTCCAGGCTCGTAAACAGGATTGGGGCAGTTCCCAGGGCACTTTACCACCTCACACTTTGTTTCCTTCGCGACACATGTGCACTGAAAACAATCGTTTGGTTGTCTGTTGACCCAAGTCTGACCGTCTTTATAATAAGTGTTTTTGTGATAACAAGCTGAAAGGAAAAAGTATTATCAAGTTGAAAATTACCCTAGTGATAGCCCTCCCCATGGATAAAATACCAACATGAAAGTAAACATAACCAGCTCAGGCTTAACCGTACCTGAGTAGCTGGCAAGACTTAATTTCGCACGATTGCTTTGGTTTCAAATATAGTCTCATTGCTAGCGTTTAACGGAATTTCGCTCCCCGGAAATACATTTGTACTTCAGATGAAAAGGGGGGCGCTCTGTGATAGAAAAACGTTTAGTTCTTAAGGGGTTTCTACTACAAGAGCACAACACGAGAACCTGGCCAGAGATCGAATCTGGACAGCTCGAGCCCGACTCGAGCTTACTACTGAACCATGTGGCCATTGCGCCCCTTCTTTCTCATCAAATGAACTCACCGCATGTTGGACAGCATTTTCCCTGGGGAGCAGGGATGAGCTTCTCGCAGGGAACTTTAGAGAAGACGTCACATTTTGCCTCATTTGGGCAGGTTGTGACGCCTCGATCACATGAACATGCTTTGCAGCCAATGTCATTATAATGAATTGGGTTCTGAGGTATGTAGAAAGAATCTCCATCTTTGTACGTGACATCCTTGACGTTGCACTCTGCTGTAAATAAAATTGATGACATCAAAGGTCAGTACGCTTTTAGCTGACATAACTATTGACAAAACAGTGGTGAAAAAATTTGAACGCTCGGAATAAGCTTAGGCTAGGTTTTTTGTTTTGGCTCTAGTTTGCACGGAATGCACGCACAGCCGTAGCCGGGGCCGCAAAGCCACGAACTGCAGCTGCTGGTGCCCACGCGTTGAGAAAGATACGTGTTTACCCCTTCCATCTGCGCCTCAAAAAATCGCAACCTATGTTTTCTCTAGGCAATTATTTTTATTGTCTCGCAATGGCTAATTCCTTCTACGAGACTAACCGGCAAGCGTGAATCATGGTAGTTGTATTCATCAAAAAGAATATCCAGTCCGGCGACCCATACAATTACTTATTCCGCTCAGGCGCATCTCATAGATGGAATGGGCCATTAATCGGAAACGAAATGAAACCACAAGAGCTAACCTTTCCTCTTTGGCCATTGTAATTGCGTTTTAAGGTTGAAAGTAAAGAACATGAAACAATAGAGGCTGGCTTTTCCTTTTGAAAGATTTTATCTAGTTTTGCTTTGATTCTATGCAATGATGGTAAAGGATAACTGTTAGTGATTTGTTTCGTAAGATAAGTACATGATATTTCCTTGAACAATATTAATATAGCTATAGGTCGACTTTTGCTTTAATTCTATGAAATGATCGTGAATGATAGCTGTTAGTGATTTGTCTCGTAAGATCCGTACATGGTATTTCCTTGAATTACGTACAGCGGGTTAAATGATACGGTAAAAGCAGGTTTTGACACTGATCAGAAGTTATTCTTCCCTGGAACGTTTCGACTCCTTCAGAGAACAACATCACTGACATATAGAGGGAAAACTATATAGCAAACTTCGCTTATTTGTACTTACAAATGAGTTTATAAACAGCGTTAGTCCAAGACCCTCCTATTCCTGTGAAGCACCTTTTGGGTCGCGATTCCCTGCCGTATCTATAGTAACGCGCATCTTGTTCTCCTCCCCAGCATTCCCCCCAAAACTGCACACCAAACAGAGACAGCCCGCGGGCACGCGCGCGGTCCGCGCACACGTCGATTACTTTTTTAAAGTTATAGCCGTCAATTTTCCATCTGATGAAGTTTTTGGCGCTTTCCAACTGTACTGGCAGCGCTCGAGAAGGAACTTTGTCTTTATAACAGCCGAGATATTTGTAACGAAATCCATTTTCTGCAAGTTAAGAAAGTATTGCTAGTTAGATGCCAACGACTGGATAAAAAGATAAATAAGCGTGGAAATGCAAAAATTTAAGTAAAGACCAATATCTTTAATGCTTAGTTTTCTCTACATAATCTCCACCGGAGTACAAGACTTTTAATAAATTTAATCAATATACAAAATGACATGTTTGGTACTTACCAGAATTAGTTAGAATGTCTTCATCGGCCTGCAGAGTAAACGCACAAAATTTAAAAAAGAGGGTAGTGACCCATGATATAACATAGCATTAGTTCTTCTTTTATGATAAAATTACCTGAATTGCATCGAGTTTTCATTGGCTTAGCCATCATAGTATATGAACCTTATACCATGCTCTAAAAATATGGAAAGCGCGCGCGTAATTTTTCGGGGGCGTTTTTATTTTTATTTTATTATACTTCTTTATATGTTGGGCACGTTTTAATAAAACAATTATTCCACTTGCGCTTGTTGGATATGAGATGATAGCCAACCCGGTGCTAAGTTCCTCATTGGCTATCTATCATCGCATATGGACTGCATCTTAAAAACGCGCTCATGGAATAATTGCTTAGTAGTCTGATTCATGATCCAGACAGTGATATCATGGGGAAACTAAGATCGGAACTATGCTCGGCTGTCTCAGATTCCCAAAATGCTAAGTCCGCGTCGTTTCAGCTATGTTGCTAATTGGCACGACGTAACCTGACTCTGAGATTTTTCAAGAAAACGTCAAAAATATTTCAGCAAAGGCGCACGTAATTTTTCTAGTGACTAAGGTAGTGTCCACACCACGCTGGAGAAATTTGAAAACGCAGCTTTATTTCTACTGTTAGGTCTACCGTTCGCACTAATCCGTCACGGAAACGAAGGCTTCAAACCGGAGGAATTTGAAAACGCAGCTTTATTTCTACAGCTAGGCCTAGCGACCACACTAATCCGTCACGAAAACGGAGCTTTTCGAAATCACTCTTCAAACCGGAGGAATTTGAAAATGCGGGCCTTTCGTTTTCCTCGTGGAAGGAAAACATTTTGAAAATGGAGCTTTTCAGTCGCAAACGATGGCGTCGCGATACTCATGTGATTTTCCTGACCGAGTTTTCCTCAAACACAAATCCAAAATGATCGGTGATTGTTGCGTTTTGAGATCTTTTGAAATTCCTCCGGTGGTGCTGAAAACATTTAATGCGTTTTCAGAGTGAAACCTCCGTTTTCAAATTCCTGCGGCGCAGTGTGGATGGAAAACATTTGNTCTTCATCTTTATACAATGTAACTAACCTATACAAGGCATGAGTACTTCAGAAGTCAAACTTTGCTGAAACTGATTATCATCGGATACCAATTCAAATTCCCGTTCTCGCACCATGTTAGAATCCTGTTCAAAACAGTAGGTGGCTAATTCAGACCGTGTTCAGGAAGAGATGTGAACAGTTCTTGAAGTTATGTACAGCAAACACGAAAGACCGTGTTTGACCACATTTCCAAACATCAAGGAGAGAAATGAAAATACGACGCGTAGCGGAGTATTTTTGAAGAACTTCGAGGTGTTTGGAAATGAGGTCAAACTGCCTGTCTTGAGTGTTAGATATATCTCCTCAACCTAAACTAAAACTGTGGAGAAAACGGAGAAATAAAATCGTAACAACCTATGCTGATTAAGATCAGATATCAAAACACCGTCACGGTCATGATTTCCTTACAGTATGTTTAAACTTGATGAGTTCACGGTAATGAGTTTGAGAAGTTTTTGTCTCCTTCACTCATTTAATCCTCATCGTCCCATCCATGGGGGTTATAAGGCGTCCACTAAGAAATGTCTCATTCACACACAACAAACAAATTGTTTCAAATTTTAATGATTTAATTTTTTTAACTTTTGGGCAGTAAAACGAGACTGCTCCCTGGAATATTACTGTTTTCTTCAAACATCGACGCGTAAAGTACTTAATGGTATATATTTTCCGTTTCATTGAACCCAGTTCCTCCTCACTTAGCATAGGCGCACGCAGTTCCTGCAACTGAAAAAATAACAAAATGTCAAACAGGTTGAAACTTTAGACATATCTGGAATTGGGTTTTGCGTGTATTTCCCAGGAATAAATGAAAAAGGTAAGACATAGTCGGCTATAAACAATACAAAATAATTTCTGAGATTTTGCCAGAACTTAATCAGTGAAAAAACAAATAACGATTATAAATACAGTCAGGAGGTGAATTAGCAGAAGTCAATCTAAAAATAACATTTGTGACCTCTCACGCGAAAACGTACACTAAAGGGTATCGGTTTGAACGGCTAAAAACCGTCCGCGTACCTTTTGCCATCCGTTCAAAATTTGGTTCATTTTTATCTATTTTGAAGGCAAAACTCTGTTTTCTTTTTCTACTGGCCTTTGTTAATCTCAAGTCGAACAGCTACATGGGCGGCAACAAGATGTGAAAAATTGCAAGAGGATTCTTTTTACTTTCATGATAGGTCGGCCAGACACCATCAGCTGGAGGTCGTATCAGAATTCCAGGGCCGCGATCCACAGATGACGAAAGTACAATTCACATTTACATTGGAGTCTTGGAAAATCACCCAGTGACATATGTGCAAGATTAAATAAACAAATTTAATACAAAAATAAATGGGAAAGCTGAATAAAACGGTCGTCAGAGATGGTCATCTTGAATTTTGTGGAGAACTGTATGATAAGAAATCTGGGGCGGATAAAGGATTTTGGAGAAGGGGGTCCCGCCGACCCTATATCCACCAGTATCCCATCCCCTGTATTCCCCCGGTCCCCCGGGGACATCGAACCCCGAAAAAGTTTTTAATTGAGGTCGTCAGAAATGGGATTTCCGGCATTCTGAAGCCAAGTCAGCGTAATTTAGGGAGATCGACCGACCCCCCATCCCCGTACCAACCCCCCTCTAGATCTATCCCAGGTAATCAAAAGGAACATTGTTCCAATAAATGATAGCTCTTGGCCAGAAACTATATTTATATGTGTTACAGGATTTCGGGAGCGGGATGAATTTCAATGGATGAGACAATCTAGTTTTTAGAGAAGACTGATGTTGTGCATGACTTGGAACATTAACAGCGGCCTGGTTACCCTCTTCCTTCCTGTCTTTTCTTGCACTAGAACCCTCAGTGGCATCTATCTGCATCACAAAGAGTTGCATGCTAGCGACAAACCTTAGCGTTATTAGTTGTAACTCCATTTGTTCCTTTTCTTCATCTTCAGACTTCGTTTGTGGTTACCAGGGAAACCTGGGAAAGGCGGAAATACTGGAGGGAGTCTGGTAGTAGTTTCAGGTAGCGTGAACGAGGCTTCAGTGACAGGTGCACCGGGTCCTGGAGAGAGAATTGATAAAAAGAAAATAATGACATTTAAAGAAGCTCAGTCACGGTATTTTGTGTCATTTTGGCCATGTAAAATTACCCTTAAATTAAAATAAACCTGAAAATAACGTTTACTAAGATAGAAAATACTAAGGGATACAAATAAACCATAAAAGAACAAAGATGGTTGAGGATGACAAGATAACAAGATGACAACGTGTTTTATTCAAGATGATGAAAATAGAATACAAGAAAAAGTACCTTATTGTTACTTATTTTCGCGGGTACTTAATTTCGCGAAAATGGAACGGGCATATTTCGCGGGACTTCCCAGGTCTGGTGGGCCGGGGAGGGGGGCGGGGGGGAATCTGTGTTATCCGTGTGGATCCGTCAATCCACAACTCGCAGACATACCCCAAACAAAGTTCCCCCATGCGTTGATAAAAAGAAAGGAAAACACAATTCAGAGGTTCCTCTTTTACTTACTACACGTTGGACAACATTTTCCAGGCTCGTAAACAGGATTGGGGCAGTTCCCAGGGCACTTTACCACCTCACACTTTGTTTCCTTCGCGACACATGTGCACTGAAAACAATCGTTTGGTTGTCTGTTGACCCAAGTCTGACCGTCTTTATAATAAGTGTTTTTGTGATAACAAGCTGAAAGGAAAAAGTATTATCAAGTTGAAAATTACCCTAGTGATAGCCCTCCCCATGGATAAAATACCAACATGAAAGTAAACATAACCAGCTCAGGCTTAACCGTACCTGAGTAGCTGGCAAGACTTAATTTCGCACGATTGCTTTGGTTTCAAATATAGTCTCATTGCTAGCGTTTAACGGAATTTCGCTCCCCGGAAATACATTTGTACTTCAGATGAAAAGGGGGGCGCTCTGTGATAGAAAAACGTTTAGTTCTTAAGGGGTTTCTACTACAAGAGCACAACACGAGAACCTGGCCAGAGATCGAATCTGGACAGCTCGAGCCCGACTCGAGCTTACTACTGAACCATGTGGCCATTGCGCCCCTTCTTTCTCATCAAATGAACTCACCGCATGTTGGACAGCATTTTCCCTGGGGAGCAGGGATGAGCTTCTCGCAGGGAACTTTAGAGAAGACGTCACATTTTGCCTCATTTGGGCAGGTTGTGACGCCTCGATCACATGAACATGCTTTGCAGCCAATGTCATTATAATGAATTGGGTTCTGAGGTATGTAGAAAGAATCTCCATCTTTGTACGTGACATCCTTGACGTTGCACTCTGCTGTAAATAAAATTGATGACATCAAAGGTCAGTACGCTTTTAGCTGACATAACTATTGACAAAACAGTGGTGAAAAAATTTGAACGCTCGGAATAAGCTTAGGCTAGGTTTTTTGTTTTGGCTCTAGTTTGCACGGAATGCACGCACAGCCGTAGCCGGGGCCGCAAAGCCACGAACTGCAGCTGCTGGTGCCCACGCGTTGAGAAAGATACGTGTTTACCCCTTCCATCTGCGCCTCAAAAAATCGCAACCTATGTTTTCTCTAGGCAATTATTTTTATTGTCTCGCAATGGCTAATTCCTTCTACGAGACTAACCGGCAAGCGTGAATCATGGTAGTTGTATTCATCAAAAAGAATATCCAGTCCGGCGACCCATACAATTACTTATTCCGCTCAGGCGCATCTCATAGATGGAATGGGCCATTAATCGGAAACGAAATGAAACCACAAGAGCTAACCTTTCCTCTTTGGCCATTGTAATTGCGTTTTAAGGTTGAAAGTAAAGAACATGAAACAATAGAGGCTGGCTTTTCCTTTTGAAAGATTTTATCTAGTTTTGCTTTGATTCTATGCAATGATGGTAAAGGATAACTGTTAGTGATTTGTTTCGTAAGATAAGTACATGATATTTCCTTGAACAATATTAATATAGCTATAGGTCGACTTTTGCTTTAATTCTATGAAATGATCGTGAATGATAGCTGTTAGTGATTTGTCTCGTAAGATCCGTACATGGTATTTCCTTGAATTACGTACAGCGGGTTAAATGATACGGTAAAAGCAGGTTTTGACACTGATCAGAAGTTATTCTTCCCTGGAACGTTTCGACTCCTTCAGAGAACAACATCACTGACATATAGAGGGAAAACTATATAGCAAACTTCGCTTATTTGTACTTACAAATGAGTTTATAAACAGCGTTAGTCCAAGACCCTCCTATTCCTGTGAAGCACCTTTTGGGTCGCGATTCCCTGCCGTATCTATAGTAACGCGCATCTTGTTCTCCTCCCCAGCATTCCCCCCAAAACTGCACACCAAACAGAGACAGCCCGCGGGCACGCGCGCGGTCCGCGCACACGTCGATTACTTTTTTAAAGTTATAGCCGTCAATTTTCCATCTGATGAAGTTTTTGGCGCTTTCCAACTGTACTGGCAGCGCTCGAGAAGGAACTTTGTCTTTATAACAGCCGAGATATTTGTAACGAAATCCATTTTCTGCAAGTTAAGAAAGTATTGCTAGTTAGATGCCAACGACTGGATAAAAAGATAAATAAGCGTGGAAATGCAAAAATTTAAGTAAAGACCAATATCTTTAATGCTTAGTTTTCTCTACATAATCTCCACCGGAGTACAAGACTTTTAATAAATTTAATCAATATACAAAATGACATGTTTGGTACTTACCAGAATTAGTTAGAATGTCTTCATCGGCCTGCAGAGTAAACGCACAAAATTTAAAAAAGAGGGTAGTGACCCATGATATAACATAGCATTAGTTCTTCTTTTATGATAAAATTACCTGAATTGCATCGAGTTTTCATTGGCTTAGCCATCATAGTATATGAACCTTATACCATGCTCTAAAAATATGGAAAGCGCGCGCGTAATTTTTCGGGGGCGTTTTTATTTTTATTTTATTATACTTCTTTATATGTTGGGCACGTTTTAATAAAACAATTATTCCACTTGCGCTTGTTGGATATGAGATGATAGCCAACCCGGTGCTAAGTTCCTCATTGGCTATCTATCATCGCATATGGACTGCATCTTAAAAACGCGCTCATGGAATAATTGCTTAGTAGTCTGATTCATGATCCAGACAGTGATATCATGGGGAAACTAAGATCGGAACTATGCTCGGCTGTCTCAGATTCCCAAAATGCTAAGTCCGCGTCGTTTCAGCTATGTTGCTAATTGGCACGACGTAACCTGACTCTGAGATTTTTCAAGAAAACGTCAAAAATATTTCAGCAAAGGCGCACGTAATTTTTCTAGTGACTAAGGTAGTGTCCACACCACGCTGGAGAAATTTGAAAACGCAGCTTTATTTCTACTGTTAGGTCTACCGTTCGCACTAATCCGTCACGGAAACGAAGGCTTCAAACCGGAGGAATTTGAAAACGCAGCTTTATTTCTACAGCTAGGCCTAGCGACCACACTAATCCGTCACGAAAACGGAGCTTTTCGAAATCACTCTTCAAACCGGAGGAATTTGAAAATGCGGGCCTTTCGTTTTCCTCGTGGAAGGAAAACATTTTGAAAATGGAGCTTTTCAGTCGCAAACGATGGCGTCGCGATACTCATGTGATTTTCCTGACCGAGTTTTCCTCAAACACAAATCCAAAATGATCGGTGATTGTTGCGTTTTGAGATCTTTTGAAATTCCTCCGGTGGTGCTGAAAACATTTAATGCGTTTTCAGAGTGAAACCTCCGTTTTCAAATTCCTGCGGCGCAGTGTGGATGGAAAACATTTGATGCGTTTTCAGAGTGAAACCTGCGTTTTCAAATTCCTCCGGCGCAGTGTGGACGGAAAACATTTGATGCGTTTTTCAGAGTGAAACCTGCGCTTTCAAATTCCTCCGGCGTAGTGTGGACGGGGCGTACCGTAACTATAGTTCACTGGAGACAGAACACTTCCTAAACACAACCTGTAGACTTACTTGAGTTTCCAGAAAGGTCATGCACGCCAATACGAACACCACTGCTTTTTTCATGCAGTCCATCGTGGTAATTTTCAATTTGCTGTGATTCTGATGACTAAAAAAAAAAAGAGTTCAAAGAAGAATTAAAAGAATGTGGTTCACTCGAAAAGCAGGCTCTGTCTTGTAAGAAACAGAATCTAAAAGCAAAGAAATGGACGAATGAATTGCTAATTATAATAACTAATAAAAAGAACAGTACTGTAGTTCTTTGGAAAACTGTTCTAACTTTGAGTCGCCTTTCCCACTTAAATTAGCCTTGATTCAGACCAGGAGCCACAATCGGGGACTAAGTACAGATTCGCAGTTGACAATGGTTTACTTTATTCTGGAGTATCAGCCGGGCTGGTGTACATGGTTAAGGACTTTGTTTTAGTCAGGTATATTGATACAATTCAGTATTGAACACTCCTCATGATTCAGCCGCGTCAGATCTGTGGTTGCGGCCTTGCCAGGGTTGTTTTACAACAGTGCGACTCTCCTTGCCCACTGTCAGCCGTATTGCCTGACAACAAGCTCTCACTGGAACTTGTGATAGACTAGCAGCCGATCCAACGGGGAGAGAGGGGACGGAGGAGGGGAGCATAACAATAGGATGCCTCTAGTCGCTTCATGCTACGGCCAGAATCACACACCGGTACTGATCAGGATGAATTATCAGATTGCCCCGTCGACAGGATATTTTTAACCTTTTCACTCGCTATCAACCGATTCGTATTTATAAAATCATTTACCCTCAGCCGTTGTAGAGAATTAATCATCCTTTTACCATTGGGTTTCCAGCTGCTTCCTCACAGTCAATATCTTTTGTTTATTTAGTAAATCTAATGTTACGCACATTCTTCTTAAACAAACATTCACTGTATTGTCTTTTGATATCTATTGAAATCGAATTTTTTTAAGATAAATAATTTTCTACATCTTTGGAAAACGTAAAACTTCATTGTTACTCATTCGATGAGAAAGCAATGGTTTTTCTACAAAAGCTAACATAGGAACAGTACTCGCTCTGTACTGATTTATAAACCCTGTAATTTTACTGTTCACAATTTAAATATTCTTGGTGTTGGTGACGGAAAATAAGCATTAACTATCTTTTTTGACCCGTTTTCGAATGCTCAAGACGGCTGAGTTGTATTAGAAAGACGACAACAAATCTGATAAAATAGTGTTTCGAAAAAAAATATGCTCATCTAATTATCCTCATTTTCTTGACTTTTTTAGTTACGCTTGAGGAAACAGGAATTGGCCTTCTTATAAAACCATTACATCTGAACAGGTTTCGACAACTGTCTGTTCTAACGTTAGATATCATTTGTTTTTTGGACACTGAGTGACCAATTATTAACAACGATTGCCAACTTACCTCAGATTTGTCCTTCGGAGCGGCGTTCTTCAACGGCCGCTCACTCAAACTGTACTCGTGGTTTGAGAGCGGAGAGTTCTATCTTGATACAGTAGCCGAGATACCACATGCACTTAGTTAAGCATGTTTAATAGTCAACAAGAGACTTTTGGTTTGTGTTTACTTTAAAGCAATTTTTGATACAACAAAGCGCCTCCTTTGCCAACAATATCCCATCGATAAAATTAGTGTGATCTAATTTT